CCCTCGCTTTCTCTTTTAGCTACAGTTCTTCCTTTAAGCCGTGGTTCATGTGAGAAATGAAGGACTCGCTCTTCTTCACCCACTTCTGTCCTCTGACAGGGGCACCCGTGCCAGGACGCGGCAGAGTGGTCAGAGGCGCTCCCGGACAGCCGATGGTCTTCCCGGCCGATGCCGAGCCTTCCGAAGGCGCCTCCCCGTCTCCCTAGGAGGGTTATTTGCACAAATAGCCAGGGTGTTCTTCTTCCTGTGTTTGTCCACACAGTCATCTAGGTACAACCTTGTGATAGCTTTGATACCTTTTGGTTCCACCTTGTTGTCAGGAGTTAACAGATCTTAAAGCCTTTTTTTGTCCCCCCTCCCCCTCTTCCCCCCCCCTTTCCCTTTTTTAACATGTAGGTGCTACCAGAGATACAGCAGTGAGCAGGACATAGATTCTGACCTCAAGGAACTTAATCAAAGCCTAGTGCAGGTTGTAGATAAATACTTCTGATACAGTATGGGAAGTGCAGGCAGGTATTTATAAACTACTAAGGGCCTGTTAGGGAAGGCCTGGTGGAGGAGGAGACATTTAAGCGGAACCTGGCAGGCTGTGCAGAGCTTCTTTGGGTGGCACGGGGTTGGCGTAAAAGAAGAAGGCTGTCCCGGGCAGCAAGAGAGCAGTCGCCGAGGCCCAGGGCCGTGAGAGCGGTGGACCCACCGCCTGCCCAGCCTGCGGCATGCGCCCCGCAGCTCGGCCCCCAGAGCACTCCCTGGCTTTAGCCCTGACTTACACTGGTCCGGCCCCCAGACCCTTTCCCAGTGACCCTTCCTTCCTCCAGGACCCTTCTCCCACCCTGACTCCCCGTGCCCTTCAATGATCACGAGACTAAGAAGCGGCCGATGGCTTTAGATCTTTATAAGGCAAGTGTACTTTCATTTTGCTCCGACTTTTTGTCACGCTTGACGCTGGAATGATGGCCTTTCTCCTCTTAAGAGTAAGAGGCATTCTCTGTGGAAGCAGACGTGGAAGGACTTCTGCAGCGATAGCCCTGCGGGGGGAAGTATGCAAAGCCCAAAGCACGCGTCCCTCCTGCTCGGGCTCGGGCTCGGACGTCGTCGCGCATCAGAACTGCATGAAATGCGCTGCCTGTGGCAGTTTAGTCTCAGAAACAAGACGAGGCACAACAGCGAACAGGCCAGAGATTGGCCACGAATTTCCACAGAGATGGTGGCGGTCACGCGAGTCGGCGGCCCCGTCCGTCGTGCGGGAGGAGGGACCCGATCCTGGGACGCGCTGGAGGGCTTACGCTGCCTGTGTAGGTAAGGCAAAGCCTGATGAAATTTTTTTATTATTGACTGGTGGAGATTTTTGTGTGTGTTTAATTTAGGAAGCCGATAAAATCTCAGGGCTGTCAAATACCTATAGAAATCTTAATGCTCACATTTCTTTCCATTCTTGGCATTAGAAGTATTGCTTTATGCATTGTGCTCACGTTAAGCATTGAATTATTATACTAATCATATTGTTAAGGCAGTAATTGCTTAACACCTCTTAACTTGCCAAGAATTCCATTTAATCCTGAATAACCTTAACTCCATTTTAATAAATTGATTTTATAGACATTTGCCATTACAGAGCATAAGAAATTAGGATCACACTTGTTGTACTTTAAGTGAAAGCTCCTGTGATGATGTTTTTTCAGATGCCCGGAGGTGCCCCCTCCTTCCCAGCACCGGCCCCCCGTCCCCCGCCCCGTGCCTGCCCCCCAGTAGACTAGAACTCGCTGAGGCGAGGGCGGGGCGGGGAGGGGGAAGCTGCTGGGTATAGCCTATGTATCAGATTCCTTCTAAGACTTTCCTTGGACCTTTTAAAACTTCTTTATGGAAAACTTGTTGCCTCCTAAAAACCCTGTTTTGGACATTAAGGTCCTAAGTAGGCGTGCCATAGACTGGATGTCTGTGTCCCCCAGAACTGACATGCCACAACCCTGATCCCCAGTGTGACGGGATTTGGGGGTGGGCCCTTTAGGAGGCAACTGGGGCGTGAGGGCAGAATCCCGCAAACAGGATTAGCGCCCTTCAGGAAGTGACGTGAGGGTTCAGCGTGAAGGCAGAGGCTGCGGACTGGGAGGGGGCCCTCACCAGACACCAAATCTGCCAGCACCTTGATCGTGGGCTTCCAGCCTCAAAAGCTGTGAGAAGCAAATGTCAGCTGTTCACACCACCCAGCCTCTGATATGTGGCTACAGCAGCCGGAACTGATGAAGACAAGGTGTATCAGCTTCTGGTTGCTGCTGTAACGTTGCCACTAACTCGGTGGCTTAAAATGACACGCATGTATTATCTTACAGCTCTGTGGGCCGGAAGTCCAAAGCAGGCATCCCAGGTCGAAAGCAGGGCACGGGCAGAGCTGTGCTCTCTCCAGCGGGCCTCTGAGGAGAGCCCGCTCCCTGGCCTGGCCCCGTCGGGGAGGCCGCCCCTGCCTAGGCCCCTTCCTGTGCCCTCTCTGCAGCCGTGTGGGACCCAGCCCTCCTCCCAGGCCCCACTGGGACGCTCCCTCCGCCACAGGGAGGGACCCTCGTGGCGACAGAGGGCCCACCCGCCTGCCCACCTGCCGAGCCCAGGGTCCTCTCCTGCTCTGAGGTCAGCTGACGAGCAGCCTGATGGCCTCAGCCGCGCGATTCCCCTTCACGTGTAACACCATGTGCGCACGGGTCGCGGGGGCATGACTCGGACGCCTCTGGGGAAGGAGGTGGCGTTCCCGGCCTGTCCTCGTCGGGGTGCTCCTTCGGGTCGTGCAGCGCCCACTGCTGGTGCGACACCCGGGGCCCTGCTCTGCAGCAGGAAGGGCGCCTGACACGCTCTGAGGACAGAGACGGTCCTTGGCCTCTAGGAGCTGGCAGTCTGTGAGGGGAAGCCGGCCCGTTCCTAGTCACACCTCCACGAAGGGGCAGGCGCTAATGCGGGTGCACGTGTGGGAGTGGGTGTAGGAGGTGAAGGGGCTCAGGAGGGAGGAGGCCTTTGCAGTGGAGAAGAATTGGACGGGGCACCCCCGCGAAAGGGGAACCACGTGGGTGAGCGTGTGGGGAAGCCCGGGACTCGCAGTCTGGGGGGGCATGGTGGGGTCTGAGGCCACCTGGGCTTTGGCAGCTGAACTGTCAGGGGCCTTGCGTGCTGTTCGGAGTCTGAGCTGGACCCCGTTGGTTAGGCCAAGATGTTACACGCCGGCTGCCTTTTGGCAAACCCGCCGGCAGAACTGCCTGCCTGGCTGCGGTGTCCTGTAAATCCAGAGAGCAGCACCGCCGGGCCTGTGCCCAGCCGCCTCCCTTGCTTCGCCCGTTTACGTTGTTTACCTGGCCCCTCGTGGGCAGGGGTTAGGCAAGGGGATGGAAGCCACCGAAAGTTTTAAAATAAGGGAGTAGTTTGGTCAAATTTGTATGTGTTGCAGTAAACACCGTGTTTGCACATCTCTTAGATTTTTTTCCCCAACAGACTTAAAAGTCAGGTTCTACGCTGCAGTTTCGGTGGAAAGCAGGACGGGCGTGAGGGGGCAGGTGTGGCCGGTGGGCTGGGACGGTGCCGGGCGTGGGCTCGGGCCGCCTGGGGTGCAGGCCCCAGCCCGGCATGGCAGCCACGCCCCCTGGGACAAGCCGGGGCTCCTGTGGGGTCCTCCTCCCAGAGCCGTGAGGTCGGGCCCACCCAGGGCCACTCGGACGTGGGCGCGGGCGGGGGCGCAGGCCCCCGGCCGACAGGATGTGGGACAGACTCAGCCGTCGTTATCTGGTAAATAAATGAGGGCTGTGGCAACCCTTAGCTTTTGCTTTGATTCCTGCTCTTAAAAGGCCTGAGGGCGCTCCTGTGAACTGCATTTATGATTGGTCTAGACTCTGTAGGAAATTTAACTGAACCCCTACCGCCCTACCGCCCCCCCCACAGCCGCTGAGTGTTTCTTTTGTGGCGAGACTTTCTGTATTCAGACATGTGCTTACTCCACAAATACTCGCAGACCCCTCCCGTGGCTCGCATCACGTGTGGAACCCTCCTGCGTGGCTCCTGGCCCCCTGAGGAGCACGCAGGAGTTAAGGCCGAGGATGAGCCGGGTGTGACGGGGCCGGCGGGTGGTGTGCGGGAGCGCTTTCGGGTCCAAGCAAGGAGAGAGTGAGCCGCAGCTGGCCCGCGCAAACCCTGCGTGGAAGGCATGAGCGCCGAGCAGACGCTTTCGGGCGACGCCGCCACATGCTAGGAATGGGGCCAGGAGGCACCGGGGAGCCAGCCGGGCAAGGTCGAAGGGCAGAGCAGGCTGCGGCCCAGCCAGCTGCTCCCTCCTTTAGGAGGCCCTCTGTCCCTGCCGCCCTGAGCCTGGCTTTCTTCCCGCCTCTTCCTGCTCTGTCCAGTCTCTTCGTTCCTAACTCCATGTTCAGTGCCAACACGGGCAGGCGCTTTAGAGCAGGTTTCTATGGTGCTAGGAATCAGCCCCCAGAAACAGATGCCTTGGTATGTCTGGGTCCTTTTCGCTCACCCGTAGGGGCGATGGGGGCTTGCCGTGCGAGGATAACAGTGGCCCCCGGCCGGCCGCCCTGCCGCCCTGCACGGCCCTTCCTGTGAAGGGGAAGGCTCAGCCCTCGCGCCCGCCCCTCGACCCTCGCCTGCTGCCTGTGACGTTCTAGATAAAGGCACACGCAAAGGAATTAGCCTTCACTGGGTGCCTGCTCTGTCGATGCTAGATGTGCATTGTTTCATGTGATCTTGCAGTTCCTAGGGATCATTTCTCCAAAATATCATAGGTCACATCAATTATAGGGAGAAAGAACCATTAAAAAAAGACCAAGGCCCAGGGATGTGGGTGACTTTGGTGAAGTCACCCAACAAGTGAGTGTTGTATGAGAGCCCAAAACCAAAGTTGTCCAGTTTATAGTTTCAGAATCTTTCTATACCCAGCATTCCATCCTTTTATTAACTTAAAGTTTATTGCATGTGATTGTAACGTCTATCTATATAAACTTTTTTTCTTTTAATTTTAGATTTCGCACATTGGCAAACTGAGAGATTTTCTTCTGGAACACAGAAAAGATTATATTAATGCTTATAGGTACGTACATATTTACCATGACTTTGCTGGCTTCTTTTCCATACCTTTATTGTTTAAAAAAATATATTTTATCTATTTATTTTTAGAGAGGGGGAAGGGAGGGAGAAAGAGAGGGAGAGGAACATCCATGTGAGAAACACTGACTGGTTGCCTCTCTTACGCACCCCAGCTGGGGCCTGAACCCACAACCCAGGCTGTGCCCTGACTGGGCATCGAACCAGCGACCTTTCACTGGGACGATGCCCAGCCAGCGGAGCCACGCCGGGCAGGGCCATACCTACAGTCCTACCTTTCGTTTAATAACTCAGAGTTGAAACGGGAAAGATCAGTTCGTCGATGGCACCCGCAGGGCATGGGGGCTCCCGTGCCGGGGCGGGGGCTCGGCCAGGCCCGTCTCAGAGTCACGAGAGCCCCGCGGCCACGTCCCCTGCTCCGAGGCTCCCACGCGGCGGCAGCTCTGGATGTTCCATCACGTCGTGCGCGGCAGAGGCGAGTGAGGCACGCCGCAGCGCCGACCTCCTGTCTCCTGCTCTGCCTGGGCTCCGACTGCACCATGGGACACAGTCGTGTGTCACGTAGATTCATGGGGAAGGGGCATTTGGACCTGCAACGTGGCGTCATCAGGAACAGCTGAAGGACTTCCCTTCGTGAGACAAGGAGGTCGGCACGTCAGGGCCCTCCTCTCACGAAGCTGGAAAATAGGAAGGAAACCTCGGGTGTTTTTTAAAAACCTTGTCAATGTGCACAAAATGAAACTATTTTGTATACTCTTTACCAGAGGAAATTACCTCAGGTGAATTTTAAATAACCCCTGCCACTTTGTCTACTGAAACAAGTAGGCAACTTTATACACTTAAGTGTATTTCATTTGTATAATTTAAAAATATACTAAAATTATTACTCCTCTAATGCATAGTACCCAAAACCATCCTAACACACAGTACCAAGAAGACCTTATGTTTTAGTTCCTGGTTCAAATCGTTGGTCAACACTAGATGGCAGTGTAAATTTTATTTCTAAAGGTGCGTTTGTACATCAGGTACTAATTTCATAGCGCATAAGCATGGGAGCTACAGTTATTTTGGAAAACTCACGCACACCGATGTCAGCTCCCGTCCCCAGCCCGTTTGGCACCCGACAGCGCAGCTTGCAGGTGGGCCGTGAGCTCTTTCATGGGATGCATTGCGGGTGTCCCTTTGCCTTGAAGAGCCATCCGCTGGGCGGAGGCTTCACCGTCGTCGCTTCGGTTGGAGCCGCCCGCCTCATGGACCGTGCAGCCCAGTGGCCTCGGCTAAGCCGGGCTCCGCACGCTGCAGCCGCAGGCCAGGCCCCGCCTGCCGCCTGTGCGTACGGCCGGTGCAACAAGGACAGTTTTTACATTTTTAAGTGGCTGGGGAAAATAATAATACTTCACCACATATGAAAATTATATGAAACTCAGATTTCAGTGTTAGTTAACAAAGCTCACTGGAACAGCACTGTGTCCCTGTGCTGGAGAATCTCGGTGGCTGCTCCGGCACGACAGCAGCAGAGCTGAGTGGCTGCAACAGGCCATGGGGCCCACAGTGGCACGCACACGCTGCCTGACCCGTGCAGAGCACGTTCGCGGAGCCCCGCCTGAAGTAATTGGGGTGGTAATTGCTCGCCAGCTGGTGGGGAGATCCAGAGAGGGCGATAGGTGTTGAACGGCGGTGCAAAAAGAAAACAGCGGATTTATCGAGAGGCTGCTGTGTCAGGGCGTTACTCTGACTTTTGGTGGCAACAGTCACCAAGGCGGCTCTCGAACGGCACAGCTCAGCGCCCACACGGTGCCAGGGTTCACAGACCGCCTCAGCCCGCCTCACTCTGGGCCTTTGCTTAGGCCAAGGCGGGCCGCTGGCCTTAAGCCTTTCCCTCTGCCAGCATCGAGGGCAGCAAACGCCGGGGCTGAGGGCCAGGGCCCCTGGGGCCAGGCCCACGCTGCCATTTACTGGCCGTGTGGCTGGAGTGTCAGGTGGAGCTGTAGCTCCTGAGGCTTTCCTAGTCTTGCCCAATCTGTCATCCCCTCCCCTGCCGCAGCCGGTCATTGCCAGCCAACGTCCCCTGAGTTCCATTCCTGGCCCTGCTTGGGTCCCTCTTAAAGAGCAAGGACTTTGGGGCGGGTCACACCTGAGAGCCAGCCATGCAGCCCACTCCAAGACCTCGGGCTTCTTTGTTTGCTGGTAAAATGTGGACCAGGCTCTTACGAGGGTTAAATATGAGAGTTCTTGGCAGAATAAGTCCCTTAGGGGATGGTGATTGAATTGGAACGCCCTTTGACCCATTAGGATGCAGTTGGGGTGGTCATTTAAAAAAGAAAGTAACTCTCTTTCCTGCCAGAGAGAGGTGGGAGGGAGAGCAGGAGAGAGAGGTGGGATAAGGAGGCAGGTCGCTGTGATGGGGGTGGAGGTGTTATCGGCCCCCCCTCCCCCGCCCGGTAAAATCTCAGGAGCAGGCAGTGCTAGGTCTGTGGGCGCTGGCCTTGGTGAGGGAGGGCTCCTGAACTGCACGGGCTCGCTCGGCCGTCGGCCGTCGGCGCCACTGCCCCTGAGCAGTCCCAGCTCCTGGGGCGCAGACGGCAGGTGCGGGTCCCCTTAGAGCCGATGGGAGAGAGGCGCAGGACAGAACCTCTGCTGCCCAGCAGGCCGGTCCCAAAGAGCGAGGAGCGAGAGAAAGGAGCCGTGGCCAGACGGGACCACGTTGGCACCCAGGTCGTCTGCCAGGCTGTCGGTCAGGGAAGCCGCTCCCCTCCCGGGGACAGACAGGGGAGGCTGGGGGAGGAGGCTGGGCATCACCCGAGGGGAGGTGTTTGGGCAGAAGCTCGGGGACTAGGGAAGAAGTGTTGCCCTCAATGCCCACAGTCTCTTCAGGGAAAGGCCGCCCCTCTCCTCTCCCAGCACGTCCTCCTGCCCAACGCCCTGGCGTGTGCGAAGCCTCCCTCGTCCGCCCCGCCTGCGGCAGCACTGGCCCACTGCGGCCTGCGCCCCGTGGCAGTGAGGGTGGGACTGCAGGGGTGTATTTAGAAATACTGCCTTCAGACCGTCAGGCTGTGTGAGTTTGACATAATTAGGAAGCTGTGGTTTTTTTCCATAATGTAGAGCTCAGACTTTATTGACCCATTTAACATTTCTTAACAATGATGTTTTACTGGAGCGGAGCAGCATGCCACCCAGGTAGCCTCTGGCTGCGTCTCCTGAATGATTTTATTGAAAAACAGTTTCTCCCCTTCCGGTAGATGTGCCTTTTCTGCAACATCCTGGCAACAGAACACTACCACTTGTGGGGAGGACTTTCTTGGTTTCTGTTGTTGTTACTAATAGAATAACCTACCATTAATTTCCAATTTAAAAGGTTAAAGCATAATGTGTCCTAAAGGAGCATCACCTTTTCATTGTGTAAGCAGCTTTCTCAAGTGAACCCTTAGGCCTTTTCCATTTCACAGAGCGGAGGTTCCATCACAGCAAAATACAGCAGAGGAGGATGTCCCTCTAATGTTCTTGGAGTTAGTCATCTATGGGCACCTTTTTTTTTATTTGCCCCTGGCCCTGTCAGCCTCCTCATCTGACGGAGTGGTTTCCATTCGGGACCAGCGCAGGTTCCCGGCCCTTCTGCTCGCCCGCCCCCGCCCCCACACAGCGATCCAACGGGGCGGGGGCGGGGTGGGGGGACTGAGCATGCCTGCCCCGCCCACACAGCCGGTCAGGGTTACCATGCGAGACCAGACCAGCTAAGAAAACAAGGTGCTGGGGTGTCGGGGTCGGGAAGCACCTCTCCCTTCCTCCTCAAGGCTTCCTGAGGGGAGGACCGCCCACTCCACGGGGGCCGGGCGCTCTTCTCCCCTGCTGTCCCCCGGAGCCGGCTGCGCAGGGGTCGGGGCCTCGGCGCAGGGGGAGGCTCAGCGGATGGCGGGGCCTGAGAAGGGCCACCTGCTCCGCCCTCCCTTTTCTCTTTGGGAGGGGCCTGGCATCAGGATGGACGTATCCCCTGCCCTGTTGTGCCTTACGGTTTCCAGGCAAGGCTCGAGAAGGGGGAGGCCTGCAAGTCTCGGGGTGGGGTCGGCGCAGTTCGGGAGCCACCTGTGTCAGAGCACACCCGTAGCTGAACGTCCCGCCTGTTCTCCAGGTCAGCCTCCTGCGTTGAGTTGGATCATTCAAAAAGTGTTTGATTATTGGCTTATTTATCAGCCTGATAAATGCTAGCAGTGCTCTTGATGGCAGGGATACAGCAGTGGGCAAACAGGCAAAAGTCCTTGCTTTTGTGGAGCTCAAATTTTGCAGGGAAAATGAACAAGAAGGAAAATGTAGAGAATGCTAGAGCAGGGCAACTGCTTCTGGGGGGCGGACAAGGGACGGGAGTAGAAAGTAGCAAGAAGGGTACAGTTTTAGGGAAGGAGGCTGAGGAAGACCTCGGTAGGAGGGGGACAGTGGGTGTCCTGCTGCCGCCTGGGGAAAGAGCGTTCCACTGGACGGGGACAGCCTGCCGGTGTACAGCCCTGAGCTGGGGGTGTGCCCAGGCGCCCAGGCGGCAGCACTGCGGCGAGTGTGGCTGTCGCAGAGGGGGTGGGGTCTTGGAAGACGAGCTCCGAGAGCCAGCAGGAGCCAGTCACAGGGCCCTGTCAGGGCTCGGCCTTCACGCGGGGGAAGGCCCTGGAAGGACCGCAGGCGGTCGCCCGGCGCGGGTGCGACAGCAGCCGGAGGAGGGCGCGGCAGCAGGTAGGAAGCTGCTGTCACAGGGCAGTTGAGAGGCCGTTGGGTGGACTGGGCGGTGGCGGGGGATGTGCTACCAAGAGGTCAGGTTCTGGAAGTGCTTTGAAGGTAGAGCCAGCAAGATCTGTTGGGGGCTTAGGTGAGAGCTGAGGGAGGAGAGGAGTCGGCGATGCCGACCTCAGGCTCGGGGCCTGAGCCACGGAGGGAAGGGTGCGCCCTCCGGCACAGGTGGGGCGGCTGCAGCGGGGCCCAGGAAGGCAAGCAGGCAGGAGCTCCGTCTGGGCACATGTGAAGCGCAGATTAAATATCTGAACGGAGCTGGTGAACAGGCAGTGAGAAACATGTGCCTCAAGTTCAAGGAGAGGTCCAGGCTAACTGTAAAATTGGGACTTGCCAGCCTGCAGCTGGTATTTAAAGCCAGGAGACTAGACGAACGCACCAGGGGAGCCGAGCAGATAGCGAAGAGGCCCGGGGACTGAGCCATCAGCTGTCCATCACCGAACGCTCGGAGAGCTGAAAGTGTCAGCAGAGCAGAGCAGAGCAGGCCAATGAGTCGCACCTGCGAGGTGGGAGGGAGGGACGTAGGGGGTGCGGGCTCACCGCGCAGCGCCCCCGCCCTCCCGCAGCCAGCCACACCGACCTGCATGAGGCGCTGGGTGAGGGCCCCGCCCACATAGGGGGCCTTGGGGAGGGAGGCCAGCGGCGATGAGGATACACCCCTGATTGGATTGGATTCAGGGGACAATGGTCAAGAATGGCTTGAGTCTGTGCGTTGGGTGAGTTCTCTTCTGCTTGATACTGGGTGGTCATAGTTTCCGCTGTAATGTCCAGAGTGCTTAATTAGGCAAATAATGTCATAAATAATAAAATCACCACACCTGCCCAAAACTTAGGAAGATGAGCAAGGTAATAAAACTTGTGTTTGGAGCTTCATGTGCTCATTACAGGAAGTGAGCACCTTTACTGGCCCACTGACTGTAGGGATTTTAATTGAACATCAGGGGAGGCGAACTGCGTTTCTAAAAGCTCTCTTACAGTGAGTTCTGGAGGCTCATTGTGAATTTTACAGACTGCTTGTCAGCATGGCAAAGAATGTCAGCCTGAAACAGCTTCCCTCGCACCTGGAGGGCCTCTAAGCCACGTCCACCCCACTCTCCACGCAGTGCCCGGCGCGTCCTGCTGCGGGCCCGCTTCTGCCGCCGCGCCGTGTGAGAGCGTGCCCTGGCTGCCCGTGGTCCTCAGTCCAGGCCCGCGGTCCCACTGTGGCCTCGTGGGCCCCGCCTCACCCTCCTGCTCCGGCTGCTCCACCCTGGGCTCTGCAGGAGCCCCTTCTGCCTGACAGCCATCGGAGCACAGGTCCCGCCGTCCAGACCCTCCTCGCCCCTCCCAGCCCGGCCAGTCGCTCCGCAGCCTGCAAGGCTCGGCCGGGTCCCTCCAGCGGGGACGCTTTCCTGCCCTTCGCACCTGCTCAGGCTGCGCGGTGTGCTCATCCACCGCTGCCCTTCCGTTTTCCCTCAGCCCCTCCTGTGTCTCTTTTTCAGCCATATCATGTCTGAACATGGGAGGATGACGGACTCAGAACGAGATCAGATAGACCAGGACGCTCAGACATTCATGAGGACCTGCTCAGAAGCAATTCAGCAGCTAAGGAATCAAGGTGAGGTGTCGGAGAGGCGCGGCCAGGCAGCCGTGACACCCGTCTGTTCCTAGCGTCCCGAAGGCACAGCCAGCTCGGACTCCCTCCTGCGTGCCTGTTGACACTCGGGTTTCAAAGCTTTCAAATCCTTCTTCTCCTGACCAGTGTTTTTACCGAAGCTGCTAAAAGTAATGAAAAGGCCATAATTCAAGTTAACGGCATGGGAGACGAGAGGGAGGTGGAAAAGACCCCTCCAAGCAGAACCAAAAATTGGCTGAGGGGCCAGGGTCAGAGAAGACACGTGCGCGCCTTTGTGCGTGTGCGCCTTTGTGCGTGTGCGTGCACGCGCGCGCGCCGGTGCTCTGCAGGCACTGACTCGGTCCGTGTGGGCACGGGTCGGGTGAAAGGCGGCGGCGCAGGCTCTCTGGTCGTGCTGTGAGCTGAACTCCGCGCTCGGACTCTCGTGGTCCAGAGGCAGGCTCTGGGGCCTCCCCGCTCCGCCGGGTCCTGGCCGCGTGGCCTCGGGCCAGTCACCTGCCGTCACTAGGCCTCGGCTTGTCCCCTACAACGTGGGGACAGTCCCAGGTACATCTCTTAGGGCTGCTGTGAAAATTTAGCTCTTACAGCCCAGCCCCTCGGGACCGTGGCTGACCCTCGGGGGGCTGCTTCCTCTCACTGTGGCCGGTGTTGGAGTCTGACCGAGGCACTGAGACATCTGCCCAGGGCACCTGTCTTCCGTGATGGTCTTTTCACTTGCTGAGGCAGGTACAGGATGCATTAGACAGTGTAGGGTTGAGAGTGACCGCGTGCTGCTGTGTCCTGACACAGGCTTTCGTTTGGGAAGCTTCATTAGAACCCTGGAAGGGCTCCTTGGAGCGCCTGCTGAGAGCACAGCCTCATGGGCCCGCCGAGTCCCCGACCTGGCCCGCAGGTGAAGCGCCCCGTAGTACAGTAATAACACAAGCCACGCCCCTGCCCTCACGGGTCCGGACCGACAGGACCTAGAATATACTCACGGACATTCACAGGCCCAGGAATTAAGTACCAAGCCCTGCAGCCTGGCTCTGAACCTTCGTTTCCTCCTGTGTGAAGCAAGCATAATCATAATAGCCTTTTGATTGTTTGGGTTACTAGCAGTGACATGTGTCAAGTATTGTACTAGCAGGTGCCTGCATGCACATAGTAGGCGCTCAGCCTCTCCGTAAGTGGGAGCTGTCCCACCAAAGTAAATGGCGCAGACTTTTAAAAGATGTGACAGATTGCAGAAGAAAGGCATCCTTGTGGGTGGGAGTTGAGGGAGGTTGGACTCGACCCTTCCGGACCCGTGTGGGCGTGGCCAAGGGGAGAGGTCAGAGCCTTCCAGGCTGGGCAGCAGCACCGCTCAGGCGGCAGGAGCACACGGCTCGAGTGTGATTTTAACGTGTTACTTGGAGGTCGGCCGGAGCGTTGGGTGCTGTTAATACAGTCGCTCTCAAGAAGAGAGGCGCTATAAAAAAATGTAAATTCCATGATTGTAGTTTTTCTGCAGGTTTAGCCTCTACTCCTGTAAAGCCTGATAACACTTACTCTTTAAAAAATGTAATATCACTTGACCCCACACTTGTTTTATAGTTGTATTTTAAAAACACTGTGAGCAGAAGCCGTTCTGCGGAAGCCGACGACTGGCTCTTCAGCTCCGCGAGCGCAGACCTGAGCGTTGTCTTTTCTCTTGCAGCCTGCAAGGAGCTCCATTCCCAGCAAGTGAAGGAGCACCGCGGCGCCGTCGTCGACTTCATCGAGGACTACTTGAAAAGTATTTCCTTTTAGCTTAACAGTCAAGTGGGGCCCTGCACGCTAGATGAGATGCGCGGCTTGGCTTTGCTGGCTGAGTACCGTAGTGTCTCGTATTTTATGATCCCTTTGCCTGAGAAGCAGTTCTAAATGGTCTGTGTTCTGGTGTTTTCCCTGCAACAGGAGTATGTAAACTTTACTCAGAACAAAGAGCCATCCGAGTTAAACGAGTGGTGGACAAGAAAAGATTGTAAGTATCGTCTCTGTTGGGATTCCTTAATTAATTGTAATGATAATAACAATAATATTAATAATGATAGTAACAATGGTAGTAACAACGACAGCAATAATGTAGATGGCTTAGTGCTGTGCTGGAACTTCCGCACAGACGCTGTAGCCGATGCTCGCTGGGCACCTGCACGTGTCAGACGCGTGCTGGACTTTGTTCACTCACAGCCATGCCCTGGGTGGTCAGTTATCACCCTCATTTTACAGATGGGGGGATGCAGCTCAGAAGTTAGGTAACTCGCCCCAAGGTCCCACCACCAAGCGATAGCAGGGAGGGGATTTGGCCCCAGGCTCTTGGTCCAAAATTCCTGCCCTTTCCCATTTTGTTGCCTTAGTAACCCTTGAGGCTGGTGCGGTTTTAGCTGTTTTGCCAGGGCCTCTTTGACCCCCACGGCCCTCCTGCTGTTTCTGAAAGTGTGTTCCTGAGGGGAGGGCGGAGCACCGCGGGCAGTGTCCCCTGCCAGGCCCTCCCCGGCATCCGCGCCCATCCTTCTCCCTCCCAGGACCACACGCCCACCCATTAGAGACTCACCGCTCGGGGATTTCACTGGAGGCTGGTCCGGCAGGACCCTCTACCGGGTGAACGTCAAAACGCCAGACTCCCAGAAGGAAAGCGACGCTGTCCGCACCCCAGTCCAGCACAGTGGGCCACTCTCATCAGCTGGGGTGGTGGGCACCACGGGCTCCCAGACACCAGCTAAGGGCTGAGCTCGCAGGCGGGCCTTTCTAAGGGGAGCAGCCGCAGGCCACTGTGTTCACCGTGCTCCCTGCGCTGTGAAACAGCAGGAACTGCAGGTGCCCGCCAGCAGGGGCATCTGCGGGAGGGAGTGAGGAGAGGAGCCCGGTCACGCGTCGGCAGGGCCGCTGACGGCGCGAGGCCCTGGGGGCACAGGCAGGAAGCACGATACCAGCTCTGCCCGCGGAGCTCAGGGCCGGCCTGGCGGCTCGGAGAGGGGAAGGTCAGCTGGCTCAGTCAGGGTGAGCGGGGCCGGCGCCGAGGGCAGAGCAGAGACGGATACGCTCAAATCCTGGCTCTGCCCCGCGTAAGCTGTGTGACTTGGGGAAGGTCGCTTATCTGCTCTGTGCCTTAGTTTCCCCACTGTGTGAAATGGAACAATCTTGTTGTGAGAACAAAGCGAGTTGATACAGGTGAAAACACGTGTGTGAGCAGTTACTGAACGTTAATGTGGGCTGTGATCTATTAAGCACTTACCACGTGTCAGGCAGTATGTTCACTCATTTAATCCTCACAACCACTCTATTCATAAATACTAGCATGTTTTGCTGTGTATAATGTATACCCACGTTTTGGGCCCAGACTTTCAGGAAAAAAATCTTTCATTTTAATTTTTTAATTCAATTTTTTATTTATTTATATTTAGAAATAAAACCGATTACTGTATTCCAGGGTATTATTTTGCAGTATATCATTATTACCACAGATGTCATTATTGCTTTCTAGAGTTATGCTTTTAACACATACACATAAATAAAAGAATTTAAAACATTTATATAGATACCGAGTTAGTACTACCCCTGTATTATGCACATCCATATTTTTTGCCTCAAAAATTTTGGCCAAAAACTGCACATTATACACAGCAAAATACGGGTTTCCCAAGGAAATCGAAGCTCAGGCCGCCTGGGTTGCTGGCCCAGCACCGCACAGCCGGACCAAGATGTGATCCTCGGGGCCACCGGAGCAGATTCTCGAACAGCAGGCCTGGCGGCGGGCCTGAAAGAACGGCCCCAGGGGAAGCGGCTGGAGAGGAGGCCAGGCCGCCGCCGGCGGCGGCGGCGCCAGCGGAGGGCGCGGGGATGGCTGGAAGGAGAGGGCAGGCCTCTGATGGTGTGCGATTTACTGTCCAGATGATTGGCCGCTGGGTCTCGCCCCCACCCCACCCCACCCCCGAGGGAGAGAGGCCTCTCTGCTTCCTTGTCCCAGGCGGACCCAATGCTGGAGACGTAACAAGTAGCCCAAGCAAAGCAGAGGCTTTGCCGCTGCCTGCTCAGCCCCGGGCCTCAGCAGAGGTTTTCACAAATTAAAACCGGTCAGGTGGGAATTGTCCTCATTTAGACCGCGAGGTACAGCTCCTGCCGGAGAGCCACCCTGTGCCAATTACTGTGAGCACGAGACCCCGAGAGAACAGTGTGACCCTTCGCAATATAGTCCGCCCTCCCTCCCTGTCCTCTCCTCACCTCACCTCGCTCCAGAGAGCATCTGCCAGACACGCGTGCGGCGTTAGCACCCCTCTCCTTCCACGTCCCACAAAGTGTAACTCCACAGCCTGGCGTTCGAGGCCCGCAGCGACTGGACTTGTTTTTAAGCTGGTCCCCTTAGACTTACGCTGTGTCCATCCTCGAGTACGTGGCGCTCTGAAGAGGCCTTGTTCTCTGAAGCCCGTGTGCGGCCGTCCTTGCTGATGTTCTACCCCGAATGCCCGTCACCACACTTGGAGTCCCCGCCCCTCTCCCCCGTGCATCTGGCAGACAAACCCCGTGCCTCCTCCCAGCCCCGGGCGCGGTGTCGCCGGCCCCTGGGGCCCTGTCCGGGGCTCCTTTCTCTGGGGGCCCCTGCACGTTGTTGTCATGGTCGGGGCGGCGCACTCTCAGAGAGCTGCCCTTGCTCCGCCTCAGCCCCTTGCGGTGCCCGCCTGGGGCGGGGCCACCTCTCCTGAAGGACACTGACTGCAAGTGGAGTTTGTCTGCTGTCACGTTGGTTTCGTGGGTTAGTTTTGTTGTTGTTTTGTTTTGATTGGTGATGATTGTTGCTAGAAATCATTCTTTCAGATCTGAGAAACCCAAGTGCTCACGGCGTATGGCCCTGGTGCTGTTGTACTATCGTATTTGCTATGTTCCTGGTGAAAGAGAAGGATATTTGTTCGTGAAGGAGCAGTCAGGTTGTTGAAGGCTTTTCACAGCAGAGGAAGAAAGGCGTCCCATGCTGGTGTCTATTTTCAGAGAAGGGCACGGCCACACTCATCCGTCACGTTACAGGGTTCTCATTCCACATTAGGTGCAGATGTTTTGCTTCTTAGTACGAAGTAGTCTCAGCTGCTCTTTGTGCGTTTTTCCATCCCGTACGTTCTTAGAAGGGCAGTGCCTGAAGCCGGGCCTGAGGGATGTGCTGTTGTTGGGGTCTCGTCTCTGTTCTTCCTCCTGCTACATGACAGGGAGTCCTCTGAAGGCAGCGACCACTGTGTCTTCCAGCTCCGTGCTCCCAGTGCCTTGGTGAGAGCCTGCCGCAGAGCAGGCGCTCCACTCGTGGATCTGGAAGGGAGGGAGGAAGGAAGGAAGGAATGGGGCGCAGGCCCCCGTCGCTGGCCCCGCAGGCCTTCCCAGTGGGAGCTTGCGCACTGGGAAGGCCGTGGGCCTGTGCCGGGCGCCGCAGCGGCCCGGGCGGCCCTGCCGTCCCGCAGGGTTTGGAACGGGCCCTTTGTCTCCCGGACCGCCTCAGAGCACGGGTGTTCCGGCGGTGACCTAAGTTGAAATAGCCATCAGATGCCCTCCTGGGTATATATTCTAGTTAAAAACCATCTGAATTCATCAGAAACATTTCTCCTCTCCAGAAAGTAATGGGGTTCGTATTGCTGGCTTTCTTTTTCTTGGGGGAAAAAGTCTGAGGTCGCAATCTAGGAACCAGAGTTAACCTGATCTCCTGTCCTACTTCGGAGGACTCTCCTCGTGAAGGCGGAACACCTTAGGCAGAGGCCCAGGGGCAGACCCAGACGGAAGGGCGGGCCTTTCTCCCCGCACGGCCGCCTCTGTCGCAGCGGGCGCGGGGCCTCTGATGCCGAGCGCCCAGGGCCAGCCGCGCTCGAGCGCGTGGGTCTTCAGGGCCCCGCTCAGCACACCGCTTTCACTGCCACAGTGACGTCCTCAGGGTGGGAGCTTCGGGCGAGTCCTCTGTCTCAAGAGAGTGAGAAGGATGGAACACACTCGTCTGAGAGACGATGGTTTCCCCGAACATCGGGAAGGCTGTGAAGCAGCAGACGGGGAGACTAGACACCTTCCCACTTGGTCAGCGTGGCTTGAATTAATGACCAGACATTAGCGCGTCCTGCTGTGGACTCCACAGGGTGGCAGCAGGGAGACTCTCCTGTGTTCTGAGGCAGCGCCGCGCTGCGTCCGGTCCCTGTGGCCCAGCAAGGCGAGGGCGAGGGCGCAGCGCTCTTTCTCCCAGGCCTTGCAGCGCCTGGCTGCACCTTCCTCCCAGGGCACGCTGCTCGCTGTGGGGCCCTCCACTCTGGGGGCGCTTGGCAGACCCGCTCCAGAAAGTACAGCCTGATCCCATGGCCAGCTGTGTGGCCTCGAGGTATGGATGGCTCCCCTAGTCAGTACGAAAGACCAAAATTTGGCTGTGTTCCATTTTCCTCCTTTAAAAAACCCGTGGCGCTCCTACAGCGGGCGCTCTCGCCGCCCTTGCGTGGTCCTGGAAGGGTTGGCCCCGTGCCCCCATCGACGGCGCAGCCCGCCTGCCCACCGCAGGGCCGGGAGGGCGCCCCCCCCCCCCCCAGCCCAGGGTCCGGGAGGGTAAGAGTTCAGTCGCTACATGTCATCCATGGCGGGGGTGGCGGTGATGACTGAGATGAACAGCGAGAAATGAGGCCATGCTCACGGCCCTGACTCTTTTTGTCATTTTAGCTTCACGGAGGTGTCATCAACATCCAAATTGCAGGCTACTTACAGGGCGCATCACGGGGGTCGGGTGCATGTACCCCCTGGAGGGGTGCTCGCCCATCATGCTAGTTAACGCAGCCGTTCCCTCACATACTTATCTTTCCTAAAAATATTGTGCTGAGAATATGTGAGTTCCATTCTCTTAGCGAATTTCAGTTCTGGAACACAGCGCTAGCAGCTGCACTCCCCATGTTTTACGTTAGGTCCTTAGAACTCGGTCATCTTCCAGCTGGAAGCGTGTGCCCTCTTACCGCCCTCCCCTGCTCCTCGCCCTGGGTTTTG